GAGAGTGCGCCCGCTTTCGAAACGTGTGTGCTCACAAACGTTTTTTTCTAAGCCGCTGCCCACAAAAGTCAAATAAGCAGAGGCATAGGGGGGGATGTTGAGAGTGTGTTAGTCATGAGGTAATTGTGACAACAAAGGGAGTTTTGCGCCAGGATTGTTCTAGGGGAAAGCAGCCTGTGGCTTTCTACAATTAATTCACACAAGCCATGCTTGTAAAATCAACTCCTCATTCCCTTGATGTGTGTGGGGTCTGGCCTGGCGCGCTGACTGCTCTCTGTTTTGCGTAATTGCAACGATAGTCCATCATGATCAATGGCAGTGTGCATACATTTTGTCGTTGAATGTCGAGAGAAGCAGTATGTTTTAAAGGCACAAGCCTGGATAGATGTAAAAGATGTGGTGTGTGCAGTGCCTGTTGTGTGTGTGTTAGGTCAGTTGCGCCGGGATTTCCTTTCCCTTTCCCGCATATACATCCCCTGGCAATAGAACACTGTACTTTTTTTCTAATCACCAGGAAGGCATAGGTAAATGGTAAGCTAAAAAATCAATGCCAAGAATTCCAATAAATGTCAAACCACAAAAAACTTGAGTAAGGATCTTCAGATTTCGCAGCTGAGAATGTGTTAATGGCAGAATTTGTTTGTTGTTTAGGATGAAAAGACTAACCTAAGCAGAGTAATGGGTCAACCACTTAGAAGATGCTCCTGAGGGAGGCCTCTTTTAAGTTATTTAGAGTTATGTGGCCCACCTTTCAACAGTACATTTCCCGGCGTTTTGAGTCACAGACTCCCTTTTTGCTTTGCTCTGTTCAGATGTCCATTATTTAGTCTTGCATTAGTATCAGGAACCTTTTTGTACCCCTTTTCCATTCCCTTGCTTGAGAGCAGTACTTTCGTGGGAGGAAAAAAGGTTCCTATTTTCTGAGTTGGTCCTGGGGCGGAATGGCAAACCACGCCCCGTAACCTCCCAAAAAAGTTTTTTGTGAAAGCCGCCATTTATTATCTTCGCATTTAGCCCAGCGCCACAAAAGCAGAGGGAGACTAACGTTTGGCAACAACAAAATAAACATGGGGAGCGGGGCTGGAGTGACATGAGACTGTCGGTGTTCTGGCGATTTTACTCGGAAGGCTCCAGCAGAAGCTGCTGGCGACTCCCAGCCAGCTTCTACTGGTGAAAGCCATGTCCCCCAACTCCGGGCGACTTCGGGCCGGAGTCTCGGGTGAGGTATTATGCCGTGAAGTTTGCTTGCGGCCTGCCAGTAAACCCAAAAAGCAGAAGAAAAAGAAGTGAAGTCAGCGGGCTTAATCGCAACCTATCCTCCCCAAGGAACTTATTCCGGTGTGAACGCGATCTGACACCCGTAATTTTCGGACTATAAGGCGCACCTGGCGCTTGCCGAAATGTAAGCCGCAGCAAGCTTAAATTTGAATCTGTATGGATTGTACATTATATAAGCCACACTACTATTAAGCCCGCGCAAGCGTGTTTTTAATTGTGTAATACCTATGTACAGGGTTGTGCACAGAGGGGATTGTCGGGAAAGAGATGGCTGTTTGAGGAAGCTCCTATTTATTAACATTTCAACAAACAAGTGGGATATTTGCATAACGTATTCAAGTGTTGACCATTTAGTTGCATTTTAAGTTAGCGTTAGAACAATGTACGTGCTGTTGTAAACTGCTGACTGTGATCACATAGCTTTCAGACCACGCAAACTTTTCAAACCTTTCAAACTTAACACGGTTTGCGCTCCCAGCGCACGTTAAACCACCGTTTTGGCACAAGAACTGTCTCGCCTCTCGCTAAATGTCTGCGTGTCTTGCTCTCGTCTGTCTTCTCGTACCACTTCTCGGTCTCCACTTACTTTTGCGCGCTACCTGTCTCAGCCTCTTTCACGGCCCTCCGCAGCTTTTTCCTGGGCTGTGTAGCCCGGCCGCTTTAAAGGTGGGGGGCGCGGACCGCCATAAGCCCAATGGAGTTAAAGGTGTGGACGTGTAACCTGTAAAATCCATAGATTTGTAGGAGCGGGTCCGGCTAGTGGTCCGTTAGCTGAAAAGTTCACGCTGGAGGAGATATTTTCAGGAATCAGAATCTGTTTTCCACTGCTCAACTCCTCCTTATTCTCTCTCTTCTCTCTTTTTTTTTTTCCCGGGGAATGGTGGGTTTGACAGCAGGGAAACCCCTCCAAGGCCTTCTTACCCAGGGCCTTCCCCCAGTCCCTGGCCAAGCAGCATTAAAGGACTCAAAGGCCACAATGATACGTACAGTACTCTGCTGAGTTTTGGACTGGACCGTCCTGCAAAGTGAGGCAACAGGGTGCAGTGTTTCAAGTAGCACAAAGCTTTGCTTTCTCCACGTCATGGGATTGAGTTGGAAACAAAGCCTGGCCATGCAAGCGCCAGGACTTGCGCCAATAAGACGTTTTCAACAACATCTCTGTAAGGCTTCAACGTCTGTCCTCTGATGCTTTCTTTTGGCACTAACTGTTTCTGGTGGCTTACTGTTTTAGGTGTATTGGCCACAAGTCTTCATCTCCATTTGTTTTTTGTACTATTCAAAATTGCTGAGATCCTTGGCCATGAACCAATAGAAGCTAGACTGTTGAGTAGGGTGCAACAACTAAATCGTCTTGACTCGATTAAACATCGCATGGACAAATTAGTTGCCAAGCTAATTCAGTCGTTGCTTATTCGTCGCGGTGACGCCATCCACGTGTGCGTTTTACGCGCCGTTTAAAGCTCCAACGTTATCGTTTTTGTTTATCGGTACTGGAGACATTTAAAAAATGTCATGTGTATCTTGCTACAAAACATTATATCACAGTCTTAGGTGTCGGCCAATTGTGTTCTTGGGCGCGGGGGAGCTCTGGGGAATTTGTTTCTAATATGCAAAAAGACAAAAAAAATGCGTCTTATATGCCTTATTTTCAATCTTTCCATCCAGACGAGATCTCTCGCTCTCCCCCCGTCTGTGTAACGGAGGGGGCGGGGGCCAGTTTACACACACGCGGGGTGGCTACATCTAGCAACACACTGCAGGGATGGCAGGGAGGAGAGAAGTGCTCCCAAGGCTGGGTTAAATGTTACCTCGTCTTTGGGGAGGTGGAACCAAGTGTCTCGTGGCCAATTTTTAGTGCCAATTAAGAGTTCTCCCGCTCGCTCCCAGGGGCTGCGTAACACGAGCCAATTCTGTCTAAACATTTACAAAAGCTGCGCACCACACTCCAGACGGAGAAATGGCACCGCGCTCTCCACTGGTCTTGTCTATGTAGCTCTGGCTTTAGTGTCCCAGTCGTCGACGGCAATAACCTTTTCCACGTCAGGTGTATATGGGTATGCTAGCCGAGCAACACACAGAGTTTAACAAAATGGTATACAAACATGTGGTTAATGATTAGAAGGTAACTGGTTAATTTTATCTTTGGTTAAAGTTTTCAAGCGTATTCGGTTTTACAGTTCTGCTCATTCGCAATTATGTTAATACGATTGTGTGAACCATTGTTGTTTCTTTTGATGTGAAATATGTATGTTATTGTATTTTAAAGAAAGCAAATGTTTGATTATGTTCACAATTTATTTAGTTATTATATAAAAAATTTTTTATTTGAATTCAAGTATTCATCTTTATTGTCTCATTGTATTTCCCACATGCCAAAAACAACCTCAAGCTAAATCTACAACGTTGATGGCTAAGATAAGAGGTGTTGAGAAATTGTGCCAAGGCATAATAGTCGAATAGTCGATGGAATCGTTTCATTAATCCGAGTTACAAATTAGTCGTTTGTTGCAGCCCTACCTGTAGATTGTAATTACAAGTTAAACCAAATGCAACGATTGGTTTTTGGTCATCGGAGAACTATTTTCTGATTAATCTATTTCCCTATCTGATAACCATTGCTGATATTGGTCTAATTGAAAGTATGGTTGCAGATGTTGTCCAATGGAATTTGTACACAACGGGACAAGATTTTTGGTGTTGGAAGATTGTGGTTTCCTTTTGTATCTGTATGTATTTACCAAATAGATAAGCAATTCCTAAAGAAATGCTAGTGGGAATGTTTATTCTGAAAAAGCTGACCTAAATCTGCTATCTGAAAATGAATGTGGTAAGAAGAAAGTGAATAATTTGAGATGTCCTGCAGGGTTATTACAGTTACAGGGCTAAAATGCCGCTGGCTCCTCCGGCGGTGAATGTTATTATCACTAGGCCCACATTGTAACCCACTGGCCCGGAGCCATTCGTCCAAAAAAAACTCGATTATAATGAAAAAAATTAACACATTTGTTGCAATAGTAGGCTGTAATTATTATTGCACCTACTAC